TAATTTATATTGTAAACTAGAAGCATGTGAACTAGAAGCATGTAAATCTAGAAATACAAGGCATGAACCGGTACATCATAAATTAATAAATTAATTAGAAAATACAGTGAATTAACGTTACACCAATGGAACTTTTCTTCCCTATTGATAACAGTGGCCTATTCCATGCCATGGGAAGACCAAACAGTAGCATACACAAAATGGCAAAATCAAAAGCTTAACCCTGTGCACATGCATCTAATAAACCAATTAACTCGCTAGTACTACTAGTGGCCAATTACATGCAAAATTATTACACGCACCTATGAATCTATTAATCTAATTCTATGATAAACGTTGAATCTATTTTAAGCTTGTTGGGAAAATCTACTCACATTACATAATTTCACATTGCATATCGCAAAATTATGAGATGAACAAAACAAACCTTCAATCTCAGGAAAAATAGCATGCTGAATAAAATACAGATAAAATATAAAATGGTTAAAGGAAGCAAACTGAAGTCTGTGTGATACCACAGCCTCCTTAAAATAGATTCGCCGCCTCATCATTGGGTGCTGGAGGTACGATTATGAGATGAACAAAACAAACCTTCAATCTCAGGAAAAATAACATGCTGAATAAAATACAGATAAAATATAAAATGGTTAAAGGAAGCAAACTGAAGTCTGTGTGATACCACAGTCTCCTTAAAATAGATTCGCCGCCTCACCGTTGGGTGCTGGAGGTACGACGGCGTCTACTTCCCAGCATACGACGGTTTTTACCAGCTACAACAGAAGCACCTTCTGATTAGCTTAGCGAACGGACAACGGCAGCACTCTCTCTCAGGAAGAAAATTATAGGAGAAGTAGACTGACAGTGTATGGATGTCAAGGAAAAATTATATATCTCTTTTCAAGGAATAGAGCCTCTTTTTATACACCATGGGGGAGAGGGGAGAAGCCTCTAGCCATCAAGGCTGGCAACTAATGCTAGCAAAACTGCCCAATCAATTTTGTAAAACTAATGAGTATTAAATGTGTGAGTTATATACACATTTATGAGGCAATTTCTTATTCAACCATTTTTCTCCAACAATCAAGAGGATTGTTTGCATATCATTTAGATTTGGGTACCATGAGAAAAATTGATAAAGCAAGGATGAAGAGGTCTGGGTGGCTGCAATGCAATTGAATATTATCAAATATTCTCGTGGAGCAAGGATGAAGAGGCCTGGGTGGCTGCAATGCAATTGAATATTATCAAATATTCTGGTGGAGTAAAAAGAGTAAGAAAGTAAGAGAGTCATGTATTGTGATATTTCAAGTTCAGTGCTAGTTTGTTTGTCATTTTTTTATATGTACACAAGTAAATTAGTGGATTTTTTTTGCTTCCTTTGCATTTTAAATATATTTTACAATCAATCTTAGTATTATAAATATTTTGTAACTAATAAACTTATTCATCACTAAATTGGATGTTTGTGCCTGCTGCACAACAGACTTGCTGTGAGATTAAGCGGCGCCGTATTGATGCTGCTGTGTGTCAAGCACCTGTGTGTGCAAGTGCAAGGCATAACATCCGTTTTTTTTTTTTTTTTATTATTTGATTAAAATCATTTATATATGATATTAATTATGTGTACCCACTAATTTATTTATAATCAATTACTTTTATTTTAAAAATAAATAAATAAATTTCATTTTACTGTGTTTTAGTAATTTTTTTTTTTTTAAATGATAACAATTGATTCAGTATAATACACTTGAATGGGATTGGGTCAGTTTTTATATTTTTCAATATTTCACAAACACCAAAATTGAAATATAATGTAAGGAAATACTTTATGACACCTTTTTTGTTTTATTTTTTATAATTCACGGCCGTAGATTTAATGTGTATCTCATGATTATTGTATTTGTTGACATTTATAAGAAAATCAAGAGCAAATTATATCAGTAGTTTATGTACTTTAATTTTTGTGTCATTTTAATTTATGTCATTTCAATTAACTCGATTTTCACTGTCTAAATTTGATCTAATTGGATACAATTGTTAGCATTATTTTATAAAAATATGTACATGAACGGCATGTGTCTTGTTTTTTGGAACAATTATAAATTTGATCAATTCTGTGAAATAATTTCAATCAATTCAGTGATTATTTTTGGGGAAAAAAAATCCTAATGACATTATCAATTATACGAAATTGACACAATAAAAAATCAATAGTCAAAGTTAAGCTAATTGAAAGTAGGATTAAAATGACATAAGGAATAAAATGTAAGGACTACTAATGTCTAACTTAGTCACTAAAAATACGATAAAACTTTTGACAATTAAAAAATATTTGTTCCTTAAAAATATATTTTTTAAAATTTTTATCTCTAAATTTTTAATTTATTATAATGAGTTATAATAGTCAGAGAATTTTTGTTAACCACTATAGAATTATGTCATTTTGGCTTTAGAAGAGCATTTTTTTTAAGTCACACAAAACTAACATTTTCATTTCACAAGTGTCTAATAAAAACTCAACACAAATAAAATTAAAAATTAAAAAAAAAAAATTACAGTGCACCTCTTGTCAGTGTTTGCCTTTTAACTAAGTCAACAGAAAATATAAAATGAATTTATTTCCCTTACCTAATTATCCTCAGTAACTACACCCCCTAATACTTAAGTCTTCTTCCCAAAGCTACAACTTACTATCGACTATTTCTCTCGTCATTCAAACAGTCCACCAAAACCCATCAAAACTCTACCACTTTTGCCTCACTGCCACCAAATCAGTACCCAATCTCCACCCCACAGCCATGCTCTTTTCCACAACCACCACCAAACTCATCAATGCCCATGATCATCAATTTTCATATCCACAACAATTTCAATTCCACCATTGATGGCCACTATTAACGGCAAGACGGTGGTGAGAGAGAGCCGTTGATGATGATTCACAGGCCATGGTGGTTGTAACAATCCCATTACGTAATACCTTATATTTAATTAATGACGGATAGGGCTGCAAACGAGCCGAGCCGAGTCGAGTTTTAGTGTGTTTGGGCTTGTTTATTAAGATTATAACGAGCTCGAGCTCGAGCTCGAGCTGAATAAAAATTTAACGAACCAAGCTCGAGCCGAGTTGGCTTAGGCTCGACTCGAGCTCGAGCTTGTTCACGAGTCTTAACGAGTCAAAAAATTTATAAATTCGTATTTGCAAATAAGAATAAAGTTACAATTAAAATTTTAATTGCATAATTATATATACAATATATATAAATATACTAAAAAAAAGTTAATATTTTACCAAAATAATAATATCTATTAACACTATTATATAAATGTACTATTTATAGTTAACTATTATTTGCATTTATTTTTTAAATATATAAATAACATATTTATCTTATTTTTTATATATATTTTTACATTATTTAATATATAAATAATAAATATTAAACAATCCAGCTAATGAGTCGAGCTTACGAGCTGAGCTTTAGAATGTTTGGACTTGTTTATTAAAAATTTAACAAACTCGAATGCAAAAAAAAAAATTTAATGAACCGAGTTCAAACGAACTCTTACCAAGCCGAGCTCGAGTCTGTTCACAAACAGCTTTGTTCATTTGCAACCTTATATACTATTATACATACATATAGTCCTCTTTGGTTTACATATAATAATGATTCATCCAGTGAATTTGTTTATCCCGAATTCATTTGAATAAGTCTTTTCGCGATAAAAGATTTTTATCAATGAGTTTCTTCCAGATAAGAGACTCATTCGATTGAATTTAGACTAAACAAATTCGGTGAATGTAATGGTACTGAAAATTGCTAATAAGTTGTAAGCCCCAAAAAAATTATAAATTCATGAAAAAATAATGACTTTAATTATTATAATTGATAAGTTTTATCATTAATTTGAAATTTATTTTGAAAACCTACACTAATTTGTAATTCCCGCTATATATTTCAAAGGTTATTATTTAATATTCTCAAAATATTGTTTACATAACGTTTCAAATTAATTATGTAGTAAAATTTTTTATGTATTGACTCTCCTTTGTTAAAAAATTATTCAATTCTTAGTTTGGGAAGACTAAATAAGTGTACTTTTTGACTTTTTATGAAATATGGGTTGGGTTTGAAGTGATGCATTAGAGAGGTGATGTGACTTAAATAAGATGATGTGACTTAAATAGGATAGTGACTTTTTGACTTTTTATCTTTTTTCAATCTTCCCAAACTAGGCCTTAATATATATTGTGATTTTTTATTAGATAATAATATCATGTACATAAACGCTACCCAATAGTTGATTTTATCAAAAACTTAAAAAAAAAATATTTATATTTTAAATATTTTATTTAATATGATTTAATATAATTAAAATATTAAAAGACCCCACTATATAATTTGACTATTTAAAGAATGGACGATTTTTTTATACATTAGAAAATGCATTTAACATTATTGACAACCAACAACGAACACATCATTAACATCATTTACTTTTGGAAAATGTCTCGTAACTCAAATTTTGTGGCTCAAATGGCCAAAACGACGTCGTTTTGGCCATTTTTATGTTGTTCTGTACTCAAAACGACGTCGTTTTGACCATTTGAGCCACTTTTGAGCCACAAAATTTGAGCTACGTAGCATTGTATTTTTACAAAATCACTGAAGGAAGAGTTCAATGATGGGATGGTAAAGTTGACTAGAGTGTCTGGGTAACTGGGAGAAAAGGGAGCACCAAATGGTGCGAGCCCTAAGAGATGGAAAATATCAAGAACGGTGGGGGTCATCATACCACACCGAAACTGAAAAAAATTAAAAGCCGAATTCCAGAAACAAAGAGCTATAGGAATCAAAAAAGGATCCTCAGGTATAATGAACTTAGAAAGGCGAAGGGCATCAAGGATACAATGCTCTTGTAGATCCAATTCTCTGGCTGGCACAACTCTATCATACCACTCCTCTCATTCAACCCTCAATGTGGGCCAGCAACGGTAGGGACAGTATGAAAATCCTCACCAATTTCAAACTTGTCCTGCAAGCATAAGTGTGTGACGTATTGTAGAAATTGAATGCAGCAATTGCAACTTTACATAATGAAGACATTTAGTTTAAGGTCAGAAATTACTAACACAGCTTGTACTACAGCATCTTTGACACTTTGATCAATTTTCTTCCATGACTTCACTCCCTTTAGAGGGCACAACAGCCTTATCAACAAGCCTAACTCATTTGTTGCAGGCGTGGCATTCCCTCCAGTGAGGGCATTGAGCATGTGATTGACATATACATGTAGTTTCTCCCCTTTTTTTTCTCACAATCCTTTTTTGCACTCCTTTTCCGATTGTAGGACCACGTACACGAGTTGACGTACTTTTCCTTGGTCAAGAAGGGGCAACAAGTGTAAGGCCTTCACATGCAATTAGTGCCCAAACATATAATCGACAATAATTAATATTAAATTTAACAATCATTTAAGCAAATTTTCTAAGGGATTATAATTTTTTTATACATGTAAGAAATTGTCTTTCTAGATGAAGAAAAATCATTTGGTTAAGTCAAATAAAGTTATCTTTAGGGGCCGAAACACACCTACAAAACTACCAAGAACAAGAATAAACATTGTAGTCCGCAGTCAGTCAACCCTGAAGATGCAACAAAAACGTGCAATGGTCTTACCTACGCCGTGCGCCTGTGTCTCTTCCACAAATGTTTGTGTGTCATCCGGTGGTTGTGTCTCATCGGATAAAGTCTGTGGTGTGACAATGACATGTGCAGATGTTCCTGAGGGTGATGCCATGGGGTCAGTTGTCGTTTTCTTACGTCGCCCTGTCTTCGTCTCAGGAACCATGCTGGTACCTGCAAAGTAGTTGCAAACATGATATATTAAGTAAACACATCACATGCATTATCGATATTATGACCAATATGGATTGTTTACAGAAACTAAAGTATTCAAAAAATTACAAGAAGACAACAATAGAAAAATAATTGATAATGATTGCCAAGTAAAAGTGTTGTACATAAACCAATGTTAAGCATAAATGTCAACTGAGGAGGTTCATCAATTTAACAGGTTCAACATTGCGAAATGGTTTACAATATAGCTCAACATGATGACATGAACAACAATATAAACAAAAGGACTAAACTCTCAGCTAATTACATAACACATACAGAACAACAATCTCCTTCATCCCTTTCCCCATTACATCAACAAAACGATAAAAAGACAAAACAACTACCAAGAACACACATCGAAATTTAGAACCCATACATCAAGACTTTGTCACACATCCAAATTTAGAACCCATCCAATCTCTCTCTTGACTCATCCTGAGTTCCAGAACCTTCTTCAACGTGCCGAAGAAGAGTTCGGGTTTGATCACGACATGGGTCATACCATTCCTTGTGAAGTAGTAGTTTTAAGTTCCTTAAGCTTTCTAATTAACCCATGTAACATGTAGGTAAAGTAGGGTCTTTGCTTGAAGAGATCATGAAGATGTTTCACTGCTTCTCAGTTTTTTCATTTTCACTTTTCTTTTCTATTACAGTTAGTTTAACCCAAAAACGCAAGAACACATTCTGAGTTTTAGATATAGCATATGTATATCTCAAAAGGTTTGAAATTTATCCTCAATGTTGTTTGGTTCTGTGCCCTGTGAGAGAAGAGAACTAATATCAATGATAATTGGGGTTGATGCCCATTTTAATTCATTCTCTGCGTTCATATATATATATTGATAGGTCATTGAACACACCAAAATTAAACACTAAACAACACCAAATTCTTTTAGAATAATGGCAAGTCCAGGTATCGATCCACAAGGACAATTGTGAAATTAAACTAATTTAATTGATAAATTCCTAAATTAATTTTGATGAAAAGAATGATTGATCATAACCTAATTTAATAACGAATAAATTAAACTAAATAATTAAATTATCAATTATAACTGAAAATAGATTTACTGAATTGGGGAAAAACCTAGGGCGAAGAGTCCACCACTAGTCACGTAAATAGGGTTTTCAAATTGAAAACAATTATGTTATGGTTCGAACGGAATAATGCTTCGTAACTACAAGTTTAAAGTATTTAACAAGAAAATCATCACGTTCAATATACGAGCACGAACCATCTCAAGTAGTATGAATCGTTCACTCTAAACTAAGGTAGTGATACGACTCGTCTCTCGTAGTATGATTCGTCTCATAGCTTGAATGTGAAGGAATAGAAAACTCTTGTATGAAAAACATTCAACAATCACAGAAAGCCGAATATTTGAAGAAATAATGGAAAATATATATATGAAACTTCTAAAACACCATACAAGTGTTCAAACCTTTACATAATTGAAAATCAAAAAGAAAAACCTATTACATGGCTAGGATTTCATCAAAACCCTAGAAAATGAGACTAACCACTCATGGAGGAGTGGAAGGAGGTAGATGGAGAAGAAGCCACCATGGGAGACATGCTTGAAGCTTTAAGTTCCTCTTCTTTTCAAACCCTAGCCTCCCTTTCTTGACAAAACAACTCCAGAACCCTAATCCAGCCTTTTTCTTGCCTATTTATACTTCTGGTGTCTTTCTAAACAGGTTTAAAACATGTGGCACGTTTTTCCAAAAAAAGTCAACGCACGTGCAGGAAAGTCAACGCACGTGCAGACAAAGTCAACTCTCTCCAAATTCTGTCTTTTTGCCCATTTTATGCTCCAACTATGTACAATCTGATTGACATTCAACACACAGTATACATTTTGACAAGCAAGTGAAGTTAAGAAATCCTAATTAATGGCCTCAATGATGTACAATTCAGCCTTAATCACATCCCCCAACTTACAACTTGCTAGTCCTCAAGCAAGTGATAAAAAAAGAGATAAAATTAAACAAAATCTAACTATTTCCTCTTTCGTGGGAAAACAATTGCATTTAGCATATGCAACAAGCCTTTAAACCACAAAGTTACCCCAAGTGGACGAGTAAAGTCTCGTGAGAGTTTCCAAAAATGATACCCACAAACATTTTCATATTCATATACGCCCAACAATTAACCACACTACTCCACCTAGCAATCAACTTATGTGCCACTATAGTGTGATATTAAAACATAACGAGTCATTAAAGGCATAGTGGACAAGCATGACGAAACCTATTGAGTCAAAACCACAATTCAGTTAATACAAAAGTAAAGTCCCCTGTACTTGTGCATGCTAGCAGACAAATCATCAGTACCCTTGGTGTAAAGTGCAATCTCCATATTAGTTAACTGTCCACTATAATAGCCCAGTGTAACTCATAACACCCAACATATACAGAAAAACTAACCTGTTGCAGTCAAGATTCTCAAGTTTTATTTATTTATTTTTTAAATGACGGTGCAATGTTCTGATCCATTAAGCTTTCTAATCAACCCATGTAGCAAGTATCGGGCCAATGACTCCCAAACTAGACGGTTTTAGGGCACTAGGTGTAGAGACACCCCTACGGGCTTAATAACTCGAGTTGAAAAGGCTACGAATCCAAACAAGTCATTCTCCTTATTTTTTTTCCCTTAATAGTGCAATGTCTAAGTTCCTTAAGCTTTCTAATTAACCCATGTAGCAAGTATTAGGCCAATGACTCCCAAACTAGACGGTTTTAGGACACTAGGTGTAAAGACACCCCTACGGGCTTAATAACTCGAGTTAAAAAGGCTACGAACCCAAACAAAAGTGTAGAGAATCTTGGCTCCTCATTTATTCTTTTCTGCAACCTAGCTATTATCAATGATGTACACCAGGAATTATAATAAAGAGGTCACCGCTATGAGAGTGTGTTCATGTGAATTAAGGCATACTTATGACAAGTGTACTAATACCACAAGCACAAATGACTCCCCTAGTGCAAACATCACATGCAAGTATATACCTAATAAATCCTTTTCATACAAGTCTACTATGCTCCCCAATTAACATATACAAATATCATCACCCTACTAGCAACAAGTCACATCAAGTGAAGCAATGCAATAAAGTGAAACAGGTATAAGCATGAATGATTGAGCCAAATAGGAATGCAAAAAAGAAAATACAACCCTCATCCCCCAACTTGAATATGACATTGTCCGCAATGGAAAAGTAAAGAGAAATGAGAGAAGATTACCAGAGATTGTAAGTGCACATCCAGATAGGCATATAGTAACACACACACACTCAACTTTTTTTATTTGTTTTTTTATTTTTTTTTCTTCTTGAGAAGAGGAAATAACTGAAAAGAAATAAAAATAAAAATAAAAGAGATAAAGCAATATACAATGGGTACTACGGAGAAGCCGGTGGCGGTGGTGGCGGGAAATGCTGGGCAAACAAGGCTTGCATCAAAGAGCACGTCTCAAAGGCTTCATCCTGAACCCGTTGCTAGATGTCGAGCTGGTGGGCGTGTAGCTGGTCGAAGGTCGCCTGAGAATAGTCTCGATGCACCTGAAAATCCGTGCACAACTCCATGAGACTCGGGTGGCGATCACGAAGAGTACTATGGACCTGATCCACAGAGTACTGAAGCTGTAAGTACTCCTCACGAGTCATGTAGAGTGGGTCCCCTTAGGGAGGCACTGGGGAAACAGGACGGGGTTCTAGGCCTCATCAATTGGGGCACCAACCTGCTGCGGGATGCGAGATATGCTATGCTGCCATTCCTGCTCCCATCTAACTCTCACCTTATACATTCTGTCATGTTCTGGATCATCTCTGCAATACAAAGGATGTGTACACATAATAAGTTAGGTAATTGAAAAGAAACCATCATTTTCTAGTGTGATTTGACAGACAGACAGACAGAAGATATAATAAAATAATGCATCAGATCAGATCAAGCAACTTTACATTAGATGCTCCATAGTCAACAAATGACATCAAAACCAAAAAAGATCGGATGATATGTGTACCAAGTGCTTTACATCATCGGAGAAGTCATATTATATATATCAAACTAAGATTATGAGGGCGTAGCTATGAAGCACGGGTACGGGTACGAGTACTAGTACTGGTACGTCGATACAGTAAAATTTTTAAAAAATAGAGTACGGGTACGGCTTGGTACACCTGTAAAAAAAAATATTTTTATTTTTAATTTTGAGTAACTTAGACTTCCCAAAAAAATTTTTTTTTAAAGATTTTGAAAAAAAATTCATCATGATGAATTAAGTCAGGGAATAAAAGGAATAAGATTTTCTTTTTGGGTGGGAACTAAACTGTGACAATTTTTAAAATTTTCACTTTATAGCATGGTTTATGAATTTTTTTTTTTTTGACTTTTTGATATTTGAATAATGACAAAATGATTTTTTTTTAAACTAAAAATTACTTTAAAAACCTTAGGCACAGGAGGCCTTAATAACATATTTGGTAGGCTAATTTTCAATGTTTAAAAAAAGTACTCGTAGTTTTATTCAAAATATATATATAATCCAATCAAATCAAGTCTTAAGTCTCATCAAATGGAATATTCAAAAAATATATATATATATATATATATATATAAAATTCAAATTGTAATGTGGGGAACTTACTCTAGATCAAATTCTAAGTATTAATATATAAGTATCAATTTCTGCAAAACTCATTACTAAAGCTATTCCAAATTTAATCCTAAACCAAATTCCAAATTAATTTCACGTGTAATACTTCTTCTTTTTTTTTTGTATGAATAGAGTTTTTCATTAAAAGTATATGAATGACTTTCTTTCTTTTGAGTGCACCTTCAATGAACAAACAAAATAAAAATGAAATGTGAAAATGTGAAAATAATATCACTGTAAAAATATTATATTACTCTACACCTATAAACAAAGTATACACTCTAACGAAGTTTTATTGAGCAAATCATATACTCTAATGGTGTTTGATTGAGCATCACTATAAATACATTAAATTTAATAACTCTAAATTAATAAACAAATCACATATGCTAATGGAGTTTTATTGAGCACTATTGTAAATATATTAACTCTAATGAACGAAAACATGTAATAAAGTTCTAGAATAATTGTATAATTGATACAAGCTTTAAGTTTAGGTGAAGAAGAAAATTTTGGTTGAGATACACCAAAGTTTGAAGTTTTTACAATTTTTGTTTTTTCTCAAGTTGATATCTGTCGAGTTTGGGTGGAGAGGCATAAATTAAGATGATACATTATATAAGAAGCTAATACTTATCTGATATATTAAAATGATAATTATCTAATTTTGTTTTATCTAGAATAACTTTTATCATTTGAAATTTGAATACTTAATCCTTGGATAATATGTTGTTTGTTTGTTTTTATTTTAATAGTCGATCAATTATTTAGTTTTTAAAGGATATTGATTTTTTTTTTTATTAAATAAAATGATATATGATCTAACAAAAAATTGAGTATGCAATTATTTTAGTAATTTTAAAATTAAAAAATCAATATTATCTTATATATGTCAATACTTATCTAATTGTAATATTGAAATAGATTGGTTAAAAAATATTCTTATTTATCTTTCCATAGCTTTATTTATTTAATTATTTTTTATGGTCATATAAAAAATGAAATTATTGTTATTTTTTTTTATAAAGCGAGAAGAATATGGATAGATAAATTAGTTATGAGTAGAAATAGATTAGTTAAAACAATATTCTTTTTTATCTTCTTATAGCTAAATCTTTTTTATGTTCATATCAAGAACTTAATATTTTCTAACTCATTTTTATTGTCATCTTTTTTAAAAAATAATAAATAATTAGAAATTAGGAAAATGACAAATGAGCCTAGAGGGCTTACTATATAGGAAAGAAAAAAACTAATTTTGAATGAGAAGGCAGGATCAAGATTTTCGAAATTTTTGAAAACTTATTAGATTTGCTTATATATATGTATAGATAGATTAAATATGATTTTTTTCCTTAAATAAAGTTAAGCATATTATCTCTTATAGCTAAATTTGACTCAAATTTAAGCATGTTTAATCACTGACCACTATTCTCTTCCATCTTATTTTCGCTTTTCCAATTTTTTAAGTTTGATCATTATTATTTAGATCTAAAAGTTAAGACCCACTTTCTAGACCACAAAATGATATTTTTTTAAATACAAAATATTATAAAATAAAATTAATTTATCGTATTTATCTGAACTCTATAAAACAATTTCTATTAAAACAAAAATAGTTCAATAATTTTAAATTAACTATTAAAATTTAATTGTTAAAGAATGTCAAATTTTGTTGAGAAACTATTATATTCTCTATATTGGTTAGGTGACTTATCTACTAATATATTCGAAATAAGGGCCTCAATCGGGCTAGAGTCATATTGAGCTGAACTACATAAAAAAATTATGTGTCAACTAAACACTAACACAATATTAGGATTAACATAGCTATCTTAAACCCAATCAGGAAAAAAATTTAAATTTTCAAACCCGCACAATTAATCCATTATACATAGACTATTATTATTATTATTATTATTATTATTTAGGGTGTGTCATGGAGTGCTTTTAAATGAATGTCATTTTTAATAATAATTTCAATTTGGACTAGCAAAACTCAATTAAAAATGATTTTTGGCTTTTTAATAAATGTTTGAGTTTAAGATCTAAAAATACACACACACACACACACATATATTTCTTATTGTTCATTTTTTTTATAAATGTTTTCAAAAAAATATAAATAGATAGAATGTTAAAAATAAATTATTTCAAAAAATATTGTACTAAAAAAATTGCAAATAGTAAAAAAAATACGAAAGTGTATTGAATTATTATATTTTTATTTATTTATTTGGTTAGACAATTATTTTTAAAAAAATTCTCAAATATTATATTTTTTAAGTATATCTACATTAGGTATATATAAAAAAAATACACAAAATATTAAAAAATTTACTAAGAATAAGAAATTCAATTTTTTTTAAAAATGAGTTAAACCAAACAAGGTATTAATTTTTCATTTTGTCTCGTTGAGTAGAAATCCAAAAAAATATTTTTAAAGATTTTTTTTTAAATGTTAATTAAAAATAAGGAAAAATTACCAATAGGTCATATTTTACTCTTAAGATTACTATGGAGTCTTATCAAATTTCAATATACACAATTAAATCCTATTTGTCATAAAATATTCTCACAAGGTTCATTCCTCTATAATGATATATTTTATCCTAATTTTACCCCTCATTTAATATGAAAAATTCATACATATTTTTAATATAAGTAAATTTATATTTTTTAATTGTAAAACATATTATATTATATTAAAAAAATCATAAATCACAATAATAAAATTACCAATAAGTTCTATTTTGTTTTAAAAATTACTATTGAGTTATATCAAATTTCAATATTAATAAACAAGTTCTAGTTCTAGTTTTATTTTATTTTATAAATTGTTATAAAAAGTTTAATTATTCATAATAGTATATTTTATTTTATTTTTATTTTTTTCATTAAAATATGAACCAAATTTTTCATAAATAATTTATTTTATATAAAATTTTATAATAGAATTATTTTTAATAATTAAATAAATTTTCATAAACAAAAGTATAAGTATAAGATTCATCAACTATTTCATGCATTGAGTAATATATAAACTTGTCATAGTATTACTTTTATAAATCTTTGAAATTTTAATAGAATTTAGCCATTGTAGATTGTTTTCACTAAAAAAATTGGTTTGAAATAACAATAAATGATGCATTTTATATCATAATTGTTTTGATCAAATTTTTATTTATGATTAATTTTTACAATTAAATTTTTAATTTTAATTAAGTTAAAACTATTTATAAAATTATTATTCACATTAAAAGAAAATTTGGATAAGATGGATTTAGGGTGGCTACTGTGTTGGGGGGCACAACAGCCACTATTGTGCTACCCCATGGATTCATTTTAGGACTCATTTTAATAATCAGAATCGTTCACATTTTAAATTATATCGAGTACAACATACTTACATGTTCTACTCGATGTACTCTAAAATATGAATGGTTTGAGTCATCAAAATAGATCCCGAAATGAGCCCATTTGCTGCACAGCAGTCACCTCAAATCCAAATACGATATACCATTATGGAAGAATAAACTTTTTAAAAATATTTTATAATAAACAAGATTCAACTATTCATATTGAAACTTAATTGCGGGCAGGGTGAGATGGAGAGAGAATTGGAGAACGAAGCAATGAAATGAGAATGGGAATGCCTTGAGGTCTCTAATGTAGAGGCGCGACATGATATATATTGACACAAGCTTTGATCTTGCTTTTACAAATCAATGATACAACTTACAAGGTTTGGTTTGCTAAATCTATTACACAAATATTTTGAAGTGTCAGGCTTCTCTACAGCCTAAAATTAGATTGGTGTATGTTGTTAGATTTTTATGGGCCCACCACATAACCTACATCGATAATCCGAACCGTTCAATGCGTAGGGCTCAGAGTTTGATAATACATCTGATGTTGGCCGAAAGGTACCACATTGAGGCCACTTAAGTTACAGTTTTAGTCTTTTAATTTTACTTATTTGGTGGAGATGATGTGTTTCGTGTACTTGTACAAATTTGGCAGGAAATATGAAACTTCAATCAAAAGGAGCGCGAAAGTAGATTCCCCGTGCGAGAAGTGAAAAATCCGAGCCGGCCAAACTACCGCACGTGCGGCC